GTGGAGACAGGTGGAAGTTGCTGCTCGGGCGTAGCAGCTGATGATTGTCAGGTTTAGTGGAGGGTGGCGTCAAGCCTTTTACTTCCTATATAATCCAGAATACGGCAGCACACGGCGAATGTCAAGTGATAATCTGAAATATTTAACTTCAGGATGTCCGAAGACGATGTCACACATAAAGGCACTTTTGGTAGGCTGTAATCACAAAGACCCCAAACAGAACAAAAGTAGAAAAATATTCCACAGAGACACAAAAAAAGAAAAGAAAAAAAAATCTGGTCCACGTTGTCCTCACTGCATTCCCCGCTGCTGCTCAGCAGGTGGTAGGTATCTCCAGAGCTGACTGTTGGTCCACTTTGTGTTTGGTTTGGGGAGATAATGCCAGCCCCACATTATGGAGTCTCACACCGACCGAGCACCATCCGCTGCCCTGCGAAGTTCACTCGCCTCCAGCCAAACAATCTGCAGCGTCTCCTCCTCTCGCTCGCTCTCCAGCTCCCTTCCTGCCTTTGTGAGCTTTACGCTGCCTTCTGCTGCTCTCTCCTGAGGGAGGCCTCCACAACAACAACAGCCGCCATGACAAAGGGGAGCATATGCGGCCGTATAGGCGCTATACTTCACAGAGGATTACACGGCTTCCAGCCGCTCACCGCCTGACTGGCTGGAGAGACGGTGGGAGTGGACCGTGACTTGCGTGGGAGGAGTGGTCAGAAGGGTCCTGCATGAGTGAGTGGGTGGGTGAGTGTTTGTTAGGGGGAGGCTTCAGTACAGAGTGAGGCTGAGAGAATAGGAATAGGGGGAGGAGGACGAGGAGGAAGAGGTCGAGCTTTGACTCCCAATGCTATTCTTCCATGATGATGTCGCTCACTGGTCACCTGGATCGACGGGAACTGGATGGTCACTCCAGCATGGCTCTGGAAGACAGGAAACAGGGCGGGTGTTAAAACTGACTGACATGCTTTTGGCTAAAACTGTTGAAGTCAGCGATTTCAGCACAAACAATGAGCTATCGTGTACAGCTCAGGCAAACAAATGGATTGTGTTTGTTTACAGAGACCAAACAGCACAGTTGGAAAGCCTGCACTAATCACTCCGTGGGAGATCCCCAGAGAGAGGCCCGCTGCCCACGGTGGGCGGCAGACGGGAAGCCACGCATCACAGCGGCGAGGAAGTTTCCTGCAGCCAGAGCGGTGCATCCTTCTGCTGCTGATGAAAGGACCCGATGATGTCGTCCTTCCTGACCTGAGCTCCGCTGCAGCGATGCCGAGCACATCCTCAGTTACAAATCAATTAGCGCTCGTTAAAGCAGCCGTGCTCAGAGCACTAATCCTAATCCCAATCCTATTGAACGCTGGTGGAGACACGGACAGAGAACCTGCGCCTACATCAAACACCGCGACCCAAAATCAAACAGATTTTATCCTGAACATGAACTTGGAGTTCACCCTATTTTAACTGAAAAGTAATCAGTTTCATTTTTTTTAAATGTGTATTTTTGTTTATTGTCATTTTGTGGAAATGCCACCATGTCTATTCTTCTGCTTTTTTACATTTTTTATAGAAAAACATTCAGAGGAGGACAAATGGTCTGTGTTTAAAGAGACAGATTAACAAGACCTCAAAAATATCTGAAAACTACAGAAATGGTAAAGATTACAGACCCGTGGCAGCAGTGCTAGATACAGAAATGATTCCACAGCAGATCATCGGTACATGAAAATTCTTGGTATAACATCACCAAGAAGATGATAAGATCTTCAGCACTTAGAGCATCAAGTACCCACAGGAAAATGTCACATTATGAACATTTGTTCCTGCTCAGACTCTACAACAGGGGCGGGCAACTCCAGGCCTCGGGGGCCGGTGTCCTGCAGGTTTTAGACATCACCCTTCATCAACACACCTGAATCAAATGATTAGTTCATTATCAGGCCTCTGCAGAACTTCAAGACATGTTGAGGAG